CGTAACTAACTGTAGGTACAGTTTTGGTATGATAATAAAACGCGAGGAAGTCAGTTAAGCTGATCCCCTCCTACATATATATACTTGTGATCTTCCCGATCACAGCTGTTATCCCTCTGATCAGATCTCTACTGATCTTGGGTTGATCGCTACTGATCAGTGTGACAACCCGTGATCTGTGGGTGATCACCCTAGATCGCTCTATCCTGATCTGTGGTTTACTACCACTAATCAGTCACGTGACCTTTACTCGTTACGACCTGTCTGTGGAACGCTTGCAGCAAGTACAAAGGAGATGGCGTTCAGCCTTGACGCGGCTGGGTCGTAACAGTTCTAAAGGGAAAAAAATGATAAATTTTAATCATCGACTGCCTTTAAGCGTGATTGCTTACGCAAAAGTACAAATACTTTAGAGGAATAGAATAGAATGAAAGCGTTCAAAGAAAATAGCGGAGTGATAATACGTGGGAGTACTGCACTCCTTGAAATCAGAAAGGCTTAAAGGGTACGTTAAGGAGCTTTTAACACGCATTACGATTTCCGCCAGTTTTGGAGGCTTAATTTTAGGATTCTTATAGCAGTTGCGTAAACTTGACAATATTATTATAGTATAATTTAATAGTGGATCGTTCCAGAATTAGAATATAAAGTAGAACTGAGAAGATTCTAAACATGGTTATTTAAGTCTGGACAAAATCCGGACCCCTTATGAACAAAATAGAGCGCAGTTAAGCATAACTAAACACAGCTAGACAGAGCATAAACTATAGCAGTGTGAGTGTAAATAAGGTTAAGCTAGAGATAAGCTGGATGTAATTTTGTTAGATTAGCACTCTAATACCACTAGCCGGATTGAGTGTATAAAGAGAGTAGATTGTATGGAAATATAACGGGGAATATTATTCAGGGACATACTACCCTCATACAAAGTCTATTTCTGCTTTTGGCCATAAGGTACGCAGGAGTCTAGTCCGAGCGCTGAGTCAGCAGCCTGAGTTTTTATTGAGCCACACGGAACCACACTTAGCACATTCTGAGCCACACCGAATACGCCTGAGCATGCCCCGAGCTAAGTACCGTGATCCCACTTAAGTGGTGCCTAAATCTAGGACCTTTACATATAAGGAGGGGTTAGGGCAGCCCAAAAAAACTGCCCACTCTCGGAATCGAACCGAGGATCTTGTCATTACGAGTGACACTATTTGCTGCTTAGCGTCTAACATAGACAATGAGAAGTGAGAAGTCTTACCGCTGTACCCCTAAGCCAAGCGGGCATAAGGTAAACATTTTCTTGCAACCGAAAATTTATGACCAAACAATGAAAGTCTAGTTATTAGTTCGCGCCTATTTGACTAACAATTTTCGAGCGCCATTTTGACAATACACATCCAGCACTCCACATACCATCATAAGATTTCGACAATATGTTTACGCCAGAGGCAGCGGCTATACTGAAAGCTCTTCACCAACATCATGAAGCACGCAACTCAATTCAATCTTTCATTGCTACTCACAAGATCCTTGCTGATCACCGCGTAATCTCCGGTATCTCGGGCCAAGACATGGCTAAAATTTTTGCAGATCGCGGATGTCAGCTATTGACCTCCGAGGAACTTGAACATTTAGTTCCGTTTCTCTATAGTACCAGGAAGTCCAGTTCCAAAAGCTATGAAGAGCTTCACGAGCAAATCGAGAGCAGGATCAAACACTTTTACATCGAGGAGACGATGACATCTGGCTTGGAATTGGGACGTTTGGAGAAGCCTTCAGGCAACTTTGATGCTGAGCTCATCGTCATCCTTCATATGCAAACGCGGAAAAGTACTGAGCGTCTAGAGCGAGACTCTCCTAGTCCATTTTGGGATCCAGCCTCTTTCACGATCAAGCTGTTGGAATCGAAAGGTCTGTCCCCAAATTTCATGTTCGGTTACGACATACATTGGCGAGCCGAGCCGAGACTCAGCAAGAATGGTATTTGTTCGTCGTCGATATGGACAACAAAGGTCAAGCGATTGCACGACGAGCTGTCATCCTGGATGTTTGCCTCATTGCCTGCACACTTCGCGCTCGTGGGTGGTAGTTGCACACAACAGCATGTTCGTGAATTCATTGCAGCCTCGAGCATGTATCGACAATCCCTTGAACTGCCCATCGCTGAGACTCATATGCATTTGGAAGTCGATTTGGTCTTCCACCAACACCATCTGAGTAGTAGACTTGTGCCAATGCCATTTGGAAGGAGATACTGACCAGTCATTGCTATTTCATGCTATGCTAATCATTACCATGGTCTCGTTCTCTCACATATACGTTTATACCCGTCTGTTTATGAAACCAATAGTCTGTCGTCTTCCACCCTTTCTCCGGCTCCACCAGCCTTATCTCGAAATCTCTCACGATCTGAGGTACAAGCTTATAGATCTCACTCAGGGAGATATTCTTACCGATGCACGTTCGTGGCCCCGTACCAAAAACTATTATCGCTCTTTCCATACGTAGAGCGTCTCCCTTAATCCAGCGGTCTGGGTTAAAGGAGTAAGCGTCAGAGCCGAAGATCTCCTCATCGTATTGTACGGTAGCTGCGTTGATACCGATGCGGTATCCTGCAGGGAAATGGAAGCCCGAGATTGTGGCACCGCCAGGTGGCACAATACGTGGCATATGGAGACCTACGCTAGGATGGAGACGCATACCCTCATTAACACATGCATTCAAGTAGGAAAGTTTGACCGCCTCTCTGTATGTGATTGGCATGGAGAGCGTGCCGTCAGATATGGCGGCATCAACTTCAGCAGTCAGTTTTGAGTAGGCAGTGGGATTGCGCATTAGGTGGTAGAGGATGCTGTTGATAGCGATAGCTGTTGTGTCGGCGCCAGCGAAACTTGAGTCAGGTCAGCCCACTATTGTGCTCGAAGTGAAAATTTTGGAAGATAAGGCGACTACTTACAATGAGCTGTGGGATTCGACGAAGACATGCGAGTCAGTGAAGTCCAGCTCTGTTCCACGCTCAGCTGAGATGTCGAGCATCTTCCGAAGCATGTCCCGCTTTTCATCCTTGTTATTTGTTATCTGATCCTTGCGTTTCGTGACTGCCGCCTGAGAGGCTTTCTCGAGATGTTTTACGGCTCCCAATGCTCCTCGGATGGAAGGTGAAAACAATGTCGTGGAGATGAGAAAGGGCTTGGTGAGATATGACGGCACCGTACCTCCGATGGAGAAAGCGGGAAGAAGAGCGTCTATGGCATTCATGTAGCCGCTTATGTCTTTGCGCTCTCGCATGAACCCGAACATGTTGCCGTAGAATAGTTCACCAAGGACGTCAAAGGCATAACTAGAAGATCAATCAGAATCATACTCGAGGAATACTCAGTCCAGCATCATGGACATACATGTTGATCCAGAGACCTAAGTCGACTACCGAATTTTGCGTGGCAAAATCACGCATGTTATCGCAGAATAGCCAGGTGCATGAGTCTATAGCTTGCTCGGACTCTAGTACACTGGACATCGAATACACATTATTGACAATACGTCGACGCTCATTGTGCTCCTTCTCGTCTCGCGATGGAAAATGGCCAACGTAGCCACTGCTTGGAGGCGCCCAGGCATCATAATAGTCCGACTTCACAGTTCAGCCTCCAGTGGTCAGAAAAGACTTATCGTCGCGTACCTTTGCAAACACGTGCTTCGTTCTGTATATGATCTAGATAATTAAAAAGCAGCTTTGAAATGAATGGGGCATATCCGACTCACTTTGATGGCTTCGGGATCGGAGCACGCGACCTCATTGTGAGCAATGCGGACAATATGACCTATTCGATTAGCGCGTACATCTTCAGAATGGATGCTGAATGAGCTTTACCGTGCTCTCTGTGCAAAGCGCGCTGGGTACGGTCCATATCGCCGGCTGCGGTTTTGAGTACAATCCATAATCGACTGAATGATGCCAGAAAGGGACCGGGAATGGTGCTCAAAGGATGAAAATAGAGGCAGTAAATGATCCACCCTGTCAGATGGGTAAATAGGACTGTCAAAGCAGTCTGTACAAGTGACAAATGGTCGGAAAACATTGTCAACCAGGGCAGACCAAGAGGGTCACCGCAGAATGGCTGATGTCCAGCTCGGGCTTTGGAGAGGGTACTCAAGAAATAAAAGGTGGCAGTAATTGTGTCTGGTGACGAATGTATGTGAGGATCGATGCAGCCTGGAGAGGGGCATTGCGGCGTAGGAAAGTAGATACGATCGTGGCAATGGTCATCTAGGCTACAGGAGCGGGGTGATGACGGAAAATTTGACGAGGCTGAAGGAACTTCAAATTCTTCTCTAAGCAAATACACGGAAATGTGATTGGGAAGCTTATGCACAATGAGGGTCTGTCAGGCTCTCTGTACGTATACACAGGGAGTGATCAACCGGCGGGTGGCACAGGGGTGATAGCTGTGTTGATTTCCGTCCGCGGATACAGTGAGCAGAACAATTATTCAATCAGATCGATCGGAATGCCATTAAACGTCTCAAACAGTCCCGACGAACATGTCATTCTGCAATGCTCCTTCAATGAGCGGCTACCTCGATGAAGATTCCAATAATAAGAAAGACGATGGGAAAAGTGAGTTGGAAGGAAGGAGGCTCTCTGTCTTCATAATTGAAGAGTCTTCTCTGTGATTCGTAATTGTCTATTAATTTTTGAGCTCAAGCCAGTTGGATCATCTTTTGCTCCGAACAGCAAGACTCCCATGCTCCCTGATCAATAGTTCCGATAGCAAGTCGCTGCGCATAGCCAACAACCCAAGTGATCATCATCACCTTGTAATAGGTCCAATCCTTTGTCTCTTTGGGAAAAAACTTCTCTGGCTTAGCCCCGGGTAGAAACAAAGGATTCTTCGATTCATATGACTCCATGGCTCGACCGCCCCAGCAGTCCAGCCATACATGACGTTTATAACATTTGGTTTTGCAAATAAGGATGAACTCGGCATTTTCCAATGGAAGGCGTGTCATTCCTATATCTATAATTACTTCTCCTGCTGGTGTGTTATCTGGACTTTTGATCACAACATAACGAAGAGGATCTTTAGAATTATGATTATTCACGTTCGAGATCCCAGGTATGTTGAACCATTCAAGAGCTTGTTCGACTTTAAAGCAAGCCGTCGTGGTCTGAAATGTCAGTGCTTTCAAGGGATATTCGCCACCCATCTGCTTTTGCATCGGGTCGTTCAAGACTCGCTTACGGGACCAAGTGATCTTGCTCTCTATATTGCGGATGTTGTTGATCTCCGTTTCATATTTGACCTCGCCGACCCATGCTGCCCATGACCAAGAAGGGTTCTTCTGTTTGCTGTCCTGCCACGGCCTCAGACTTAGTTGCTTGGCCGGTTGCCAGAGCAAAGCGCGATCAAACGAGAGAGTAGGAATCCCGAACGCAAAGTCAGTCCCGTGTGTTTGTGCAAGGGTATTCATGATGCCCCTGAATGCATCAAGAATATCTTCGGGAAAGGTCAATGCCCTTTTAGTATACAAATTTACCAGAGAAGCATATGTCCTGAAGAAGGACCCGTTGGTTCGAGCTTCCAGCATGGGATGGTATATATGAGAGCTTTCATTCATCACACGCATTGGAGCTGATTGGTAGAGAATTTCTGCGTGCGTATCTTCGCACCAAACTTCCCGAACGCATTGAAAGAATAGCTGACTCTCTGTGAAAATGAGGCATCTCTTGGATAAAACTCTTTCTTGTAAGGTCCATGCACGTGTAGCCCATTTAGAAGCACCAATCGCCTCGATGCTCCGGGGTAACGCTTCGGCCCATGTAAGCTGCCCTAGAGTCGCAATCGCTTGGCTTATCTTTCTCGAATTTCGTCGCAAGCCAGGTAGTGGACTTGGGGTACCTGTTTCTCCTGCAATAACAATAGTAACGAAGGCACTGGAATAAATGTCCGCCATCCTCGATATCTGGAAGTTTTTGTGATCCAGATCATCTTGGATGATGCAAAGCACGTCAACCCACAGGTAGTCGATACCTAACTTATGCGCAAGGTGCATGGCCTCTTCGATTACAGTCGGAAGCTTGTTTTCAGTCGGTAGCTTCAGCTCTACCAGATTTCCCGCCGAGTCCATTGAATTCGACCTCGTAGATCCAAAAGTTTGGCTTTCAGGAGTACCCCAAACATAGCTCAGCGCAGCAAACCTGCATGTGTCTGGAGCCATTGCAACTCTGCGACTTGGGACATGAACAACTCTAATGCGACGGTGTGCAGGAAGCTGTTGAAGG